GTTGTCGCCGACAGGCAATTTACATGAAATCAAAATGAAACGCATAAAAGGGGTCGGTAAAACAGAAAAGTTTCGATCTGGGCGACTGTCAAATGTGCTAAAAATTATTTATTTAATCTTAACCGAAACTATAATTTTTAATATCTTACAGCTTATATTGAATTGTACAATATAATAGAAAAATGTAAGAAAATTCTGCAGTCTTTTATGTAAGTTTTAATACTATTTTTCAGTAAGCTTAAGGCCCCGTAGATATAGATAAATTAAAATTCGCCTGTAAATTTTACATTGTAGTCGACACATTTAATAATAATTTATTCTTTATTTGTAAATATAATTATTATTAATATTTGTAAATATATGTTTGTAACTTGATTGTTTGAGGCTTTTGTATTTTACTTTATATGCTAAATATTTATTAAATAATTAATACAAATTAAAAATGCAGTTTATAAAATTTTATTATTTTTAGAAATCAAGCTCTATTCTGAAGTCAATAGAACTCAACATACCTATTTTCCCGCCGGTAGAGCATTTCCATCTTCGAGCATTCCACTCAACTTTTGTTTACTTAAACTTTTACCATTTTGGGGTAAGTGTTAAAGTGGCCGCCAGTCGCAAATGCCGGCTGTTCCCTGTTCCCTGTTGCCCGATACTCCCTGATATTCCCCGATTTTCCCCGATATTCCCCATATATCTTATTGTGGGTGGCAGACAGGGCTCCATGGTTGAGGTCGGGGATCTGGTCTCTCGGTCGTTTGATACATTTTACGGTGCCATTGGCAGAGCTGATTGTTTTTTAAATTGTTTCTGCACGCGATTCGTGTTTGTCGGGTTTATGGCTGTAATAGCCACGGCCAACATTGTTGTTGTTGTTGTTTGTGTTATTGTTGCTGTACTATACTGCAGCATAATTTAATTTGAATGCATATGAGACCCAAAGTGGGTAATTGAATAAGTTTCGCTGCCACATCGCCATATCGCAGTTCGTTTCGCTTTTGTTCTGGGTATATTTTTTCTAAATTTGATTAGCGCCACGACTCGAAAAAGTATTTTACACGTTCCCCCGAAATCGCGTGTGGATGTGGAGGGGGTTTTCGAGGGTTAAGGGCTCTTACATACTTATTGCAATTTATTTTCTGGCCAGCTTAGCAGGCTGCTTGCCACTCAAATTGATATGTAAACGTGTGGGGTTTTTTAATGCCGCCGAACAGTTTGCTGAGTGGAGGTAAATTTACACACTCGACTTTCGTGTAAGCTTCGATTTGTGTTTGTTTTCCGCGAAAATTTCGCGGAGAGCAGAATAAATCAACGGTGGCCACGCCCCCAGCGGCAAATTCGATTGCAATTTCTGTGGCTTGTAATCAAAATCGATTTCTCATTTTGGCACACACTTCTTACCCACGGTTGAAATTGGCAAACACGTACGAAACGAAGGAAATTGCTTCTAATGTGATTAAGGTCCATTCATTTGCCGCATTATCTGATGGTCTGGCAAAAAGGTTCGCTTAAGGTCAGACACTTGATTAGAGTAATCTTTTCTCGCAGATTTTCGGATTTGGTGGCTGTCATTGAACTTGAACCCGGGGCGGAAACGAAATCGAAATCGGAATCGAAGCATGTATTTAGCTAATTGCCTGAGAGCCGAAATCGCAACGAAACCCCTTACCTTGCCTCATTAATCATGCCAAAAATGCATATTTCTGCTTAGGCGGCTTTTTAATTAATTTGATTAGCATTAATCGTTTCGAATGCGAATTATGAATCAATTTATGGCTGTGTTTCGATCTCTCTCTCTCTTTCGCTTGTGGCGGCAGAAACGAGTTCGTTGCCTAAGTCTTTCGTTTTCCTCGCAGCATCCGAGACTTAATCATTTTGACATGTCTCGCCTTCATTTGCATAATTTTGAATAACGTTAAATGCCGGGACACGCCCCCAAAAGTTACCGCTTTTCGAATCGGGCGTGGGTCGATCTTTGCGATCTCCGCGATCTCCGCGATCTCGAAGATTATTGATCGAACGGATCATGAATATGCAGAATGCCGCTATTAATTGGACAGCTCACAAGATTGTTAGCTTCTTGAATACGGCAGTGAATGTGGGCCACGCTTGGCTGGGTTCGAAATGCTTAATTACTGATCTACACTGGGCTACAAAGAATGGATATTGGCAGATAATCTTTAGATCATTGTCTTACACCAATGATTTCACAGTGAACAACAAATAATTACTGAATTAAATGTTGGTAAAAGTCAAAGAAACGCCTCTATGTTTTTATCAACTTTCTATAATTTTTAATGGATTTTCTGGGAATAATATATGAAATTTTTATATGAATCTGCATTTTGTATTACTTTTAGCTATTTGCTTTTTATTTGACATACATACTTTTTTACAACACACACTTTCTGGTTAATTATTAGTTGTGGAACATGCTTTCTTTGATTGATTTTCATGGTTAGCTGATCTCGGCTAGGATGACCTCATCTGGGATCACTCAACTCGCATGTAAATGCGTCGGAATTCAATTAATAACCCACCAAGAGCATGGGAAGCCCCCGAAAAGGGCGGAAGGGGGGCAGGGCGACCTACAGCAATGCCCATGCCCAGTCATGCTCGGCTTGTTTGGCTTGGAGCTCTCCTCCGGATCCAGCGGATCCCAGCCAGCGGAGCTCTCACCACGTCAGCCAGACGGACAAATGTTTGCACAACACACGATAATGATGACAGGCCAAATTAGCTACTAATTTTCACACACACAGGTAAAGGAACATGGACATGGCAAAGGGTCAGTCAGTCGGAGCGCCAGGACCTCACACAGCTGACGTTAGTTAATTTCTGGCACCGGAAGTTGAGAGTTTCCACGGGGGGATCAAAACGCTGGCTGCAAATTGCCATAAATCAGCATTTGATTATCCTTTGGCCCGCCTAATTTTACCTCTTGGCTAATTTTTGACTCCCTCCTTCTCCTTCTCCCTTTCTCTTTCCCACTCAACGCGGATGTCATGTGCGTGTTTGGTTTGTTTTTAATTTATTAATTACTAGGCGGTCCCGCTGCTCAGCCAACTCGGATCCGGTATCTCTGGCCAGGGCTTCTGTTATTAGCGAAATCTCCTCATCTCCGTTCTGGGTGATCCGCCAGTTGGCGATGATCCCAAGCTAACGGTTGCGGGGAATGCGAAAAAGGCCAAAATAAAGCTAGATTTGGGTGGTTTTAAACTCGTTAAAAGAGAGTGTAGGTGTGTTTTTTTTTAAAAACCTGGATAGAAATTGGTAAAAGTTATAAGTATCTAAATAATTAAGTCTTGTGAGTATAATATTTAAGTTTGTTGAACAACATTTTTTTTTTAAATTTAATTAAACTTAATTAGCTGTCTGTTTGACCTATGTATTTCTTTGTGTGTGCTTTCTAAAGTCTCTTTAAAATTGAATATGATTTAAAAAAATCTTAAAAATTTATTCTCGGGCCATGGATTTATCTTGGGTTTTTATTTATGCCAAATGGCTTCGCCTCCACAGCTTTCCTTGCTAAACGGCGGCTGTCAAGCAACCCAAACAACTGCCACTTGGCTACCCGAAAAGCCAGGGATCTTTGGAGCGCAGCCAAGATCACCTCGGGTGGTCGGAGGACGTCACTCAAATTGAAGTCCGGCAAATGAGAATTGCCGTGGAGCATGAGGAGGGGGGCATCCCATATCCACTGGCCAATCTCCATCATCTCCGTCTGTGAGCTGGAGTTGTTGGATTTTTAATTAAGCGTGGCCTGCACCCGAGGCTTTTCGTCAAGTAGCCCATCTCGACAGGGGAAGTACGAAGAGTTCTCGGGTCTTGGCTCTCGGATGTGGATGAGGAACAGGTCTTGTTAGTAATTTTTAATTTGAGCTCTTCTGACAGCCAGCTGTCATATAAATTTAATTGAATTTACATTTTTATTAATTGCCAACTCGGCTAGTGAGCCAGTTGAGCCCGTGGAGGAGCTACCCGTTGGCATGAATGGGAGATGAGCTGCTCAAACTGACTGGCTACTCATCATCCACCGACCATAGTCAGTCTGTGAATGAATTTAATTTGAGATGATTTGTTGATGGTTTCGTTGCGGTGATTTCTTGCTGACTAATTTAATGTGATTTTTAAATTGCCAGTCGACCGATTCTGAGTGTGTGGCCTGCGAAAGGGGAATTGGAATCGGGGAATCTCCTCGGGAGATTGATTGGGCCTCTGCTGGCAACATTTTTACGGAATTAATGAGATGACACGCCTCTCGCTGGGATACGAAAGCGTACCCCCCTCGGGATCATTATGAACTAATCTAATTTGCAAGCCCAGCGATGACAATCGAAGTCCAAGGAGTAGAGTCCTCGATCCCCTGATCCTCCTCCTCTTTCCTCCAACCAACTGACCAACGCTAACGAGTCGTCCTCTGCGAAGACCCCTCTTCAGTTTAATTCGCAAATCAAACAACCGCAGGGCAGAGATCGGAAATTCGCGCATAAGTAAATTAAAAAGAAATTTATGTCCCGGCCATCGAGGGGCTCGGAATGGAGGAGAATGGGATGGAGCATGTGTAAACCGGTTTCGAAGACGATCGCGAATGCAAATCCAATTAAAATTTCCCAACTGCAGAATGGGCGGTGGCGAAGGGGGAGGGGGTGTGTTGGGCGGATCGCATCCTGCGACTGGCGCTAAGCCGTAAAACGAAGCTGTGCGCTGATTTAAAACACTGCGGGGCGTGCTTATTGATTAAATACAAATTGCATTCATTCATCATCAGCTCTAGGGGCTGCTTGATATTGGTGCTCTTTTTATTGTTGCTGTTTTTGTTGGCAATTAAATTACGATTCGAGGTGAATACACAGCTCGTTTGCCAAGTAAAATGTTTCAAAGGGGTTTGAATTTCGCGCCAAGCGCTGCCAACTTGGTGAGAACGGTGATGTGGCGTTAGTGTGTTTCATTAATAGCTGACTATCGATTATTAATCGAATTGCCTACCATCCCTAGCGTATTTTTATTATTGTGTTGTTTTTAACTGGACAAAATTCTTGGTTTTTACTCACTTATAACAGTTTGCATGCACTGATTGATACGGCAATTAGTAAACAGCTGATTTAGCAACTATAAAAAGAGTAATACATCTGTTGCTGAATGAATCTGAACAAAGTCATCGATGGCGTTGTAAATTAATGAGTAACTGGACAAAACAACAAGTGCAATTCAAATTCAATGCCGGGAGGCAGTGACGACACTCGGCCCCTGGTGGCCGCCCAGGAGGAGGAGGAGGATGATGAGATCCTGGGCACCGAGGGCAGCTTTGTGCCCGCCTTTCGGCCGCAGGACCACCAGGAGTACAACCTCCTGGGGCACCGCCAGCAGCAGCAGGACGAAGTCGTCCTGGTGTCCAACGAACCCACCAGTGGTCGCTTGTTTACCTACTTTGTGTTCTACCTGCTGGGCATTGGCACCATGACCCCATGGAACTTCTTTGTCACAGCCGAAGATGTGAGTTTTAATGAATGGAAATTTCCCAAACCAACACCCAAACTCGCACCCGCATCCTAGTCAATCGCAGTGAACTTCGGACATGTGGATTCCAAACAGCTGAACAACTGGGCCAAGCGCAATTCTAAGGCGCGCTGCTTATCAGCTTTGCTGTTGTTATTGTTTTTTTACGATCACGCCGAGACGATAAGTCTCTTTTTCCATTTCCTTTGTTTTCCGCTGACTCAAGCTTTAACCCTCTCTCTTTTTTGCAGTACTGGAAGTACAAGTTTCGGAATGCTTCTATTAACACCACCGATCTGGACGAAGAGCTCACCCCGCTGCAAAAGAGCTTCACCTGCGACCTCACCCTCACGGCCACCATTTCGGGCACCACCTTCCTTCTGCTAAATGCCATCTACGGTCACCATGTTTCGCTGCGCACCAAGATGCTGGGCACGCTGTGGGTGATCCTCGTCCTCTTTGGCGTGACCACTGGCTTCGTGGAGGTCAACACGGACACGTGGCAGGAGCAGTTCTTCCTCATCACGCTCATCATTGTGGTGCTGCTTAATAGTGGGTATTCTTAACTGCTAATTAAATATATTATAACACTTATCTCCTGCAGTTTCTGCGGCCACCATGTCGGGAGCTCTTTACGGAGTCGCTGGACTGTTTCCCTCCGAATTCATCACCGCTGTGGTCAGCGGACAGGCTCTCGGAGGCATTCTCACCGCCTTGGCCTTCATTCTTGTGCTCGCCTTCGACACGGGCCCCAATACCACCGCCTTCATCTTCTTCATCGTGGGCGGCGTGCTCATCCTGCTCTGCATTGTGTGCTATGTAATCCTGGCCAGACAGCCCTTCTTCCGCTATTATCTCGAGGGCGGAGACAAGTACAAGGTCATCCGAGCAGTGCCGTCGCACAGTCCAAATGAAGGAGCAGAGGGCTTGCCGCTGGAGCCAATTTTAAGGCAGGTCATGTCGAAGATCTATCTGCACGTCATTTGCCTTGCGCTTCTCTACACTACCACATTGTCCGTCTATCCGGCGGTTACAGTGCTGATGCAGTCCGAGTACGGACACAGTGAGTGGACAGGTGAGCTAAACATTTATTCTTAAAAACCTCCGAATTTTAAACAATCTCCTGTCAGATGTCTACTACCTGCCCGTTGTTAACTATTTGATCTTCAACTGCGGTGACTACTTTGGGCGTCTTTTCGCTGGCTGGCTGGAGCGTCCTACCAACCAAAACACCTCGTTGTTGTTCGTTGTAGTTCGCATGGCGTTCGTTCCGTTCTTCCTCTGCTCCAACTCCAGTGAGCACAACTTTCTGCCTGTTCTGGTCAAGCATGACTACTCCTTCATTGCGATGATGGTCGTGTTTTCCCTGTCCAATGGCTTTTTCACAAACATACTACTCATAATGGCGCCGAAAAGCGTGAAGCAGCACGAAAAGGAGCTGGCTTCCTCCATTATGGCGGCCGCCTTGAGCTGCGGCATGGCTGTGGGATCGCTGCTCAGTCTGGTTTTCGTTCAGATGCTGTGATCACGCCAGAAACAATGAGTCTGCCGATGGTGCCTTAGGAAATTATAGAATCTGTAAGCTTTATAGTGTCATTTCACCTGATATTGTTTCCATATCGTATAAGTGGTGTTTTTTTTATAGTTAACTCTAAATCCTCTCATTTCTATTGTTTTTTACCATATTCACTGTATCATGTTGCCAATATGTAAGTTTTGAAGTTTTTCTTATGTGCTAGGAATAAGGCCATTTTTTGAACAAACAAAGAACAAAGAACAACAATTCTCTTGGTTTAACGTTTATTTTAGTTTTTCTGCGGATCACAACAACAATGTGGATAAATTTTATTTGTTTTCCTTTCGACATTATTCTTTGATTTAACTAATGAACTCCATTGTAACGTTGACTGCAAAGGGTTGTGTTTATACAGGAAATTTCGTCCAAAAAGGCTAGGCGCAGTTGACTGACTGCTGAGAAGTTTAACGAATTTTAAAAATCAAGAATATGGTCTGAAATGCTCACGCCTGTTTTGAAAAAACTGAATGCACTTTTGTAAGAAAAAGTATGCTTTAATATATTAAGTGTTCATTGATTTGAATAAAGAAAGCAAGCAAAAGTATGCTTTAAAAGTAGTTGTTAATTTTTAAACAGTGAAAGGAATCCAATTCCGGATGTGGAAAAAGTCGTCGTTTTTGTAAACTTTTAAAAACTTCATTTAGAACAGGTCGAAAAATGGTATCCTTCGTATATCTTGTTAATTTGTTAATTCATTTACTAGTTTCAAGTAAACTTTATCTTAAATTCTTGCTAACATCAAGAGTTTTGTTTCGGTAAACGTTTTATAAGTGCCTTGGCAATATTATTGCAACAATGGGTTCGGTTTGTCAATATGTAGATTTATATATAACTCTAGGGTAAGTCTAAACATTTATTTAACTAGTTTAAGTTATAGGCAACAACAAATTCGTTAGTTGCTCTGCTCAAAATGTATTCTGCTCCTCCTCTTCCGTTATGGCCTAAATTGTTTCCGTATTTACTTTCTTATTCATTTTTGTTTCCTTCGAAATCTTACGCTGCCCTTCGGTTTTCTGGTGTTTGACACCGATTTGCTTTTCAATCTAAATTTCATTTTCGTATAAGTTTATGACTTTATCGTTAACTTAGCTTAACAAACAACACACGCAAACAACGAACATCGATTAAAGCCTTTCTTGAAGTGGGGTTTTGGGGTTAAAGGGTTAGGTTATCGAGCGGGTGGCATGCAAAAGATAGTCTGCGGTTTATAAAGCAACTACAACATCGACGGTAGGGATAGCAAAGAACATCGACAGCACACAGATACGGATGCAGGGATATAGTTGATCGAGTAATGCTTACATACGTACAACACCAAAACTATTTTTCGAATTTCTGCTGAGTGGCAACAATGTTAATTGTTAATTTGTAATGCTGCTGCTATTGGATAAGTCAAGCCAATACACAATTACACAGAGATATGTAGACACCGAATGAGATAGACGATAGACAACCAACATCGACATCGATGCAAATTACTGGAGAAACACACAGATACCAATACTCTGGATATTGCTTGTTCGCTATGTGGATATATCGTAAGTTGTGGAACACTCTTAATATGAAATCTACGACACACGCACATCAAAATTACAACATCAATTGTGGGAGTGGGAACAGGGGGACCAACTGCCAGCGAGATTCGGGAGAAGATCGGTAGTCGGTTCTTGAGTAAGAGTTACGGGAAATTACAACATCTAAGGTGGTTCTGCCGTCCAGTGAAATGTCCTTTCAACATTGTTTTGATTATTCTCATAGATTACGTACTCGTATGTATGTTGTGTGGGCTATGCTTGAATTTTGGATTTTGTTACAAGGCAGCTTGGGTTTGTTTGATTCTCTTTTTCCTTTTCTGGGGTTTACGGTTCGATTTACCCAAGGAGTGGTGTCTGGTCTACAACAAAGGTTAAATATACTCATCAAATTTGCATATTTTATTGTTTGATTGTCTTGAGAATGCGGCTCTACACTCTAGTTGCAAATGGCCGTTCGTTTTCTGGTTTTTTCCTTTTTTTGGTGTTGTAGGTTGTGTGCGACGCCGTCTGTGCGTGTATGTGTATGCGTTGGACCAAGGTGAAAGTGAGGAGAAAGTAAAATCAAAGAATAGTGGGAAAACAATTCGATATAGAATTTTATTGGAGCTTTGTAACAACTAAAAAACATAAGAGTAGTGACTAAATCAAGAATAAATAGCAACCAACCGAAAAATAATTGACTAATTGTTGGCCTAGACTTGTGCTCCTCCGGCTTCCGCTTTATAAAGCATCCGCCCTGTGTGCGCACGAGATTCATTCCACAGTTTTCTGTTTGCTTTGTGCGAGAGCCTTAAACTAATCGTATAAATAAGATCGATTAAAACTGATGTAAAATACACACAACCACAATTAGCATTAGATAAATGGAGCACTCGACCTCTCCTTCGTATAGACAAATAAATTATACTTAGTTTCTGCTTCTGTTACTTGTTTGCTTGCTTAATTAGACACTCAGAGTTTCAGCGAAGTTCGAATAGGAAGAAACCGTACGGTTCGACGAGGGTTCGATGGATTTGGATCTTTATCTGGATATCCATATCCATCCACACCATAGATATACACCGATAGTCACAGTATACAGATAAAGTACTGCAAAGTACGGATACGTTAACAGTTACACTACAAGTACATCATACATGCGATAGATTTACATCTAGTTTGTTCAGTTAGAAAACGCGTTTCGCTTGGATTCCCTTTAGCAAGGGGGTTTAGATTCTAGAACTAGTCGAGGTCAGTTCCCGTCAAATAGGTTTGCGAGGGTAGGGTGTCTACTCCTCCGCTGCTTAAATTCTACGAAGACTTTTTTCATTTCTATGTTTCTGCTGTAAATACTGAAGACTAACAACTGTAGAGCCGCAATTAATCCTAAGGATAATTGGGGGCGGGGGCTAGGGAGAACAATTCGTAGGGGCGTGGCCCATTTACGTCTTCATCTCCGCTGCTGCGGCGATGCTGTTGTGCGACTTGGCCGGCGAAATGGCCGAGTGGCCGCCGGCAGCCCCCGCGTCCAGATTCAGAGTGAGATTATTGCCAGAAATGGCCGACGAACCGGAGCCCGAGCAGCCGTGGTGATGGGGTCCATGAAAGAGCACCAGGAAGCCATTGTTGGAGACGCAGCTGCGCGATTCCGCCTCCTTGTCGAGGATTTGACGAGCCTGTTTATATGGGATGTACCATTATTAGGATTATCATTTGATGGAATCACAAAGACTCACCTTGGAGCGGTGATCTGCCAAAGCATTGCGCACTGAATCGTGCTGCTTCTGCAGCTCATCCGTGCGACGGTCGAAGGTCTGCTTCAGACGGACTCGCTCCGCCACGCCACGTTCCACCACGGAGCTAGCCACCTCGCGTTTCATTCTGTCAGAAATTTATTTTAATTAAAATAATTAAAGAGGGGGTACTATTCAACCCACCTGATCAGCTCATCCCGATCCCGGTGCACGGTGGCCAGGTTCTTGACCTCGTTGCGGCGCGCCTCCTGCAGCTGGTGCATCACCTCGCCGGTGACCTTGTCCAGCGACGCCTTCAGCTGCTTCGTCTGACCAGCCTGCGAGGTCTTCAGCACCTTCTCGGCTGCCGAGTAGATGGCCTCGTGGTACTTCTCCTGCAGCTCGCGATACTGCGAAGTGTACTCGCGACAGGCACTGCGCAATCGCGACTCCTGGGTGCCGCCGCCGTCCAGGCCACTGCTTCCGCCGGCCAAATCCTCGCCAGCATCGGCGGCTGCGCTCTCCTCGCTGCTGTCGCCCAGATCCAAAGGGCAGGCGGGGATCTCCACGCCGGGCTCGCTGTGCGGAGAGAGACAATTACTAATTTCAACGGCGTCGTCTGGCAGTGCCACACCCACTGATTTCGGACTCCCGCCCTGCTACTTACAGACTCTTGTTGCTCAGCCGCTTCACCAGCTTGTTGGTGATGGCAAACTTGGGTTTCTTGCCCTCCAGAGGACTCGACTTCTGGCCGGCGATCTTGACCTTCTCCTTGTCGTGCTTCTTGCGCAGCGACTCCAGCTTCTTCTCCATCTCGAGACGCTTTTCCTTGACGCTCTTGTGGTCGAGGATCTTGTCCAGCGGTTCGGCCAGCACCAGATCCACATCGAACTGCGAGGACTCCACCTGGCGAATGGAGGTGCTCACGGACTGATCCAGGGAGTGCTGGTGCTGAATGGAGGGGGCCACGATGGAGCCGCTCGAGTCGAGTTCTCCGCCCCTTCCGCCGTCGGTGCGATCCATGGTGACCTCCACACTCATCGCCGCCGCCGCCGAGATGCTCGGCCTGTGCTTGGGCGAGGTGGCTAGCGACTCCACGGGACGCAGCTCCTTCTTCTGGCCACCTACTTGGACGAAAACGACTGGGGGATCAGACAGAATCGAACAGCGAGCGAGTGGGGCAGGGGATTGGGTTCAGAGGTGGTGCAGTTTGTGTGTCCGTCAACCGTTTTGAGAGTGTGGGAGGGTGGTGGATAGTGGGTTGGGTAGTGTTTGTGGTGTATAACCAAATCCGAAAATCCAAAAGTACAACCGAAAGTTATATGAAACGTTACCAAAAAGAAAAGTAGAAAGAAAAGAAGGTAAATTAAAATGGCAACGAGTGGTGCTACTACTCCTTACAAGGCAACTGAATAGGTTACTCACACGACTTGGACAGGTCCTCATCCCCGCCGCCCAGCGCTTCGGCCTCGTCCGTCAGGACAGACAGCTGAATGTCGCGCTTCTCCAGCTCACTCTGGTACTTGATCGGATTTGCCAGGGCCTCGGCGAAATTGGAGAGATCATCGGGCACGTAGTCCTTGACCACCACGCACAGGAAGAGGGAGGCCAGGGCGATGGGCTGGCCCACCTCCGAGCGGAGATTCACATGGCGGTAGCCGGGACAAAGTCCAATGACGGGCAGCACCCGATGGCCAATCAGTTTGCCGCCCTCTTCGTAGGCTGCGATGCGAATGCTCGCCAACTCGGGCAGCACCACCTTCTTAAACACAAAGGGCTCCTCGTCGTACACGGGATTCATTCCATTATCCCGGACCGTCTTGGTGCGGAACTTCTTCCTCACCGTGTCGGCCGGCAGTCCGTACATGTCCACCTCCACGAAGGTGTTGGCCCTCTTGTCCGTGAGAAACTGACCAGATAAAACGGTGATCGAAACAGTGCCCGCTATAATCCCATCCAC